CATAAACTATTTATAAATAAATATAAATATATATTTATCATTACTATTATCTGTAATTTTATCTAAATAGATGAATTCGTCACTAGATTCACTAGCATTTCTACTATGTGACCATCCAACATCAAATCCAACTGAAACAATTTTTTTTGATTAGTTCTTAACTGGTTGACAACTGCTATTAGTGTGTCCTTTGCACTTTTTTGAGCACAAGATTCAATTTTTTTATATAAAGGTATTTGGTGATCATAATAAGTTGATTTGTATGATTGATTCGTAATTCCAATAATCGCAAGAATATTTTGTAAAGATTGATGATTGATACCTCCAATTAAGCTAGCTGCACTTACACAATTCATAAAATCTGTACTAGAATCTTGGTTTTTATATTCTGCTATAGTTTTATATTCTTTACATTTTACGGTTATGCAAAGATTAAAAACTGATCCAGTTGTTTGAACTTTTTTTTGACCAATTCGTATTTCTTTACACTGGATACAAGGTTGTGATAAAATTATTGAAAGATATGTTTCAGTATTAATAAAAATTGCTGACCCTAATTTACGCTCTTCAATAATTCTATTAATTATTAATTGTATTTCCTGAGATTCGTTATCCAAATCAGGTAAAGATAAGTTTTTTTCAATAGCAGCTTTAGATCTTTTTAGTTGTCATGTTTTTTGGTATAGTTTATTTCGATTTTCCTTTAGTTCTATAGCTAATTCTTGAAAACTAATTAGATCGTATAACATTCCATCAGAACTATATAACAACCCAGCCTTGACTAAATTTGTCGAATTTAAATTCTCTACTAATTTTTGATCATGTTTCTTAACTCCATTTTGTAACTGATTTGTATTTTTTTGTGCTTTTAATATCTTTTCAAAATTTAGATATAAATAAGGAAACCTTTCAGAAATTTTTTGCTGAAGATAGTTAGCATTTTGAATAACTGTTAAACCAAGCAAATTTGGAATTGATATTTTTTCAGATGATTGAATATATGATTTAAAGTTAGAAAAAAACTGCGTACAATAACCTGATGCTTTTAAATTTGATAAACTTATATCAGATCCATAGTCATTCCACCAAAAAAATAAATTTCCTTGTTGATTTAATGCAATATCAAGCCAATAAAAATTTTTGTTTCGATGAATAATTATACAATATCTGAGTAATAAAGGAACAAATGTATTTATAACATTACCTTTTAAAATAGTTTAAATATACACACCTCCTTCTTTATATAATCTAAATTCTTGATGCATATCCAATACAGTTAAATTATATGTATTATTACGTAAAAACTAGCTATTATTTTTACGGTGTATTGAAATATATAATAGGTATATAGAAGTTATTTGATTATACCAGTGTTAAGTAGACATGACTGGTTCAGCTCACTTCACCGATGCTCGTTTCGTAGAAATAACATTTCATCGACAACAATTCACCGACATTATTTCACCGACATTTATTTTCCATCTCAC